CGATTTATTTATGTAATTTGGGAGGCAGTGACCTTCCTTCTCGCCTGCCACCCATGATGAGTTGTCCCGTGGAGGCAACGTGGAGGAAGACTTTCTTCGCATGTATCAATAATCCTGAGAAGTATATATTTTTCCGAATCCAAATTCCATCCTTCTGCAAATGTTGGCTTACTTACAAATGTACGGTGTTCAATTATGACCATCATTTACCGGTTCTTAAAGCCGCTCGCTGCCACAGCCTGAATTCGGCCTGTTGACAACATTTGATGGCATTGCAGGCGAATACAAGTAATAGAAGATCATTTTGCAAGCTTAAACACTTAAGGCAAAGATGCCTAATTTAGCAAAACCTCCTAACATTCAGCAAGTGCAGCAGTCTAGCTTTTTTCTAATTCCGAAAGTTCTACACAATCACTCCACATTCCAGCATGCATCAAGTCCCACTTCAAATTGGACAATTGGGCGAGAACGCTGGGTCCAAGGCCTTCAAGTTGACTGAGTTGGGCTACTATGTATGCTAGTTCCTCCTTGCGACGTGTCGCGGTTGCGACTGACGCTGGTTGGTGTGGCTGCAAGGATGGTGAAGGGGGTGGAGGTGGTGGAGGTGGTGGAGGTGGTAGTGGAGGTGGAATCTGCAGAAGGGATGGCGTTAAGGAAGGTCGTGGTCGGCGTGTACATGGCCGTGAAATTGGTTTGAATGACATTCGTGGAGGGCAGGGTGGCACTACCGGCTCAGGAATTTCCTGCTGAGGGTTTCGGTAAAAGCGGAATTGGTCAGGCTCTCTGTGACACCCAGGTTGAGCCTGGAGAACTCCTGTCACGGCAATATTTCGACTGTATTGTTGCCGGCGACCACGGTCGTACTGATCCATCAAGCTTGTTGTAGAATCAAAAACAACTTGGACGACGTTGAGGTCGTTTTTGGGCACTATGGTATTATTAGCATGTTTTTGATCATCGGTAAAAAAAAATGTACCTTTGGGCATCTTCAACGACAACTATTGTTGTGAATACTGTCATGGCTAGTGCAGACATAGGAGATAGTCCGACTGCCAGAGAATTCTAAGTTCCATTCCAAAGTATTTAAACTTAGGCAACAATCGCGCCAGAGCCTGCATGTGGCTATATGTAACATTACAAAGTTTAAAGAGACGCCAGGACCAAACACATACAACAGCCTAGAATCGCGACAGTAATCGGCCCGATGCAATCACGAGCATTACCATGCTGAAACCGAGTAGAGCAAACGTACATCATTGGAACTCGTGTTATTGCACTGAAAGCCTTTGCGATCACAGTGCACTCGATCATTGGACACACTGGAGATGCCGAATGACTTTTTTCAGATCTCGGGATGACACAGTCTGCGAAGCGCTGCGATCTGTCAGTCGAAACATTCGAAACTCTAGGAAAAATTCATGCAAACCTTCATTATCTCTGTGACAAGAAAGCTACCAAAGCCGATAAGTCCACTCGTCGTTGTCATGCTCATATGCACACCCGTGAAGGGACTGGCATTGATCTCGAAGTCACGTGTGACCTTGAGGAAAACTTTGCCTGGGTGCCACCGCTTGCTGCCGAGCCTGCACATTTAGACGACAGCTTAGCTGGTCTGGAAAGTATCTTACCTGATAATGTGGCCATTGAATTTGCTGCCTTCGAGAAGCGAGCAAGTGAGGAAGAATTCGAAAGTGTCGATGGAAAGGAAGTGTTAGAAGGGCGTGCCTTTGATTTCAAGGAGTTACTGACCTTGCATGATGGGCGCCGTTTGCATGCATGAAGATTACGACACACCGCTGTTTTTCCTGCTTGAGTAACGCACTCAGTGCTTGAGCAGCACATGCTGAATTAATGTATGTCTTGACCGGAGGGTACAGAACAGGCGCTGCTATACCAGATGTCAGAACATGGTCATGAGCATTGGCATATACGGAAACTTACTGAGGCCAAGATGATGCCCATGTATCTCGAAGGCAGCCTCCTCATCAGCTCATTCCTCAACAGTACCAGGCAATGTCCAGGCAAGATCCTTTATGACAGCCCACAGATAATGTACCGCGTCGGACGATATGGTGGGGCAGGATGCAATGAGAAAGGTGGTGGGCAACGAGGGAGACACGGGAGGGACTGCAGGCAATGAGAAAGGTGGCGTGCAAACAAGAGAAGCGGCGGGCAACGAGAGAGGTGGCGGGCAATGAAGGAGCCGGCGGGCAAACCTGAACAGACCTCCCCCGGTAACTCTGTCAGAAAAATCTAAACTTACCTTGGAAGGCTTCTATATTTAGACATTATTTCGGCACCTTCCAAGGGCATTGATGTGTAAGCAATGCTTACATCCGGCTGTTCCCGTCTGGCATTCTCAGATCCGTCTTTGCCATGGCCATCAAGTGAGTCACTGTGAGTGTTATCTATTAGTGCATTGCGAATCTATTTAATGTTAGAACTTCTGCGAATCAGTCATGTACCAACACTCAGAAAGCTATCGACTGTCGTGGTCTCTCCGGAACACAGTAGCCCATCAGCAATCGTACATGGCATCAAGGTTCTGAATGGTCTCGCAAAGCACCTCCGCGCTAAGTACTTCCAGGATAATGCTGTGGGCCTGTCATCCAAACATCACCTTCCTCAGCAGGCCCTGTTTCATTGACATGATAAGCTACTTGAGAGATGCCTTGTGAGTTGATTTGTATTCGGTACTTAATTGCCCATTGACTCGATATCGTAGGTTTCATAGCAATTTTTGCTTGTGTATTGATTACAAGCTCCAGTGGGCGAAGCTGGAGGACTCCGTCAACTCCACTTCCAATTGGGATCGCCTTGCTACCGCATTTTCTCACTTTGGCGTGAAGGTGTTGTCGCGGACCAAAGGTTTGTACTTCTCTCAAGTTTAAAAAGAATCGTCAGATCTGTGACAGCCTTACAGAGACCTAAACACCACAGCGGTATATGAAGAGACTATTTGGAGCTCGAATTATCGCACAACAAATCAAATTGTGGCATTCATGCAACTACTACCATCAATTACAAACAACTTCATTCACGTCTCATCGAGTTGAGTGACCTCATGGATCGCACGGAGAATTATGCTGTGCCGACCAAGATCTTCTTTGATCTTACCCAGAGCCTTGCGCATGACCGCAACCTCCTCTGTGACCTTAGCTAGGGATTGAACTAATCCCCCTTCAAACAATTCGGATTGTGTTCCAAGCTTCTTACGCTTAGATGGCGGAGGTTCGCTGGCAGGAACTGATGCTACCTGTGCATTGGTAACGTCCCGGAAGAGGCTACGAGGAGTCTGCATGCGATGGTGAGTGAATCATTCAAATGATCGATGAAACGGAATACTCACATCATTCTCATCACGTATCTTTCGTTTTGAACTTAACACATCGACATTTTTGTGGTCATGATTACCAGAATTCAATGTCTGCAATTACACACGTCAGAATATCCTCGTATAATCTGAATGTCAGACCTACCTCTAGGTCTGGATGTGAGGGTGAGGGGTATTTGTACCTTCTCGTCTCCTCATAATTATAGCAGCCGCAGGAATATACAGGAGCGCCTTGCCCACCCACGCCAAATCCATTGCAGGAGTCCTTGTGGCTTTCTGGAGTAGAACACCTTGATTGATCGTCTCCTTCGTTTCCCCTTTGGGCCTCAATCTTGAAGCTATTGTTCATCAAGATGTCTTCAGCTCCATCGTTGAAATCGGAAGGACGGGAGTCCATGCTACGAGAATCCCAGTCAGAGTCGGATGTCATGTTTCTTGCTGAGAAGTCTTCGAAGGGGTAAGTTATTTAAATCACATTCATTATGGCTCCCACGTCCTGATTAGGAATTGTTGCCTTATATAGAGGACATACTAGCACGCGCCATACTCATCTGGCCGTAACCTACGCTAGAGAGGAGAGTAGTGACAATTTGAATTACCGCCTTACTCCGCCCAAATGCATTTAATATTTCAATATGACTGATTGTTTCATCACAGCTCAACCTCGTTTAACTGTTAAACTCCCTCACGATGTCTTTGTCACCAGTTCCATCGTCACTTCCCAAAGATATTTTCATGTCTCTCTATGAAGGGGCGCCCAACAATCAGGCAAACGTACTAGCTGCTGAGCGCAAACAAGAGTTACAATCGTTTTTGGTACAGAGTTCTTTCAAATTTCACTTATTCGTAGACACTGAGAAATCTGACGTAGATGACGCTTGATGGAATCGACTTGGAGGAGGATGAGGAGGATAGATTTTTCACCCAGCTTACCGTTGACACTGTATTCGCAAGTCATGCTGCAGCGAAGAACTGCGTTCGCCAGTATACCCAACTGTTGAGGCTTCTGAGGCGGGAGGAAGTCCTATGGGCAGAGAGAGTTGCGAAAGCACAATTTGCATTGCCCGGATACAAGCCTCGATGGTCAGACTCTTCGGATTCTGAGTAGTCTTGAACCCACCACATCTGCCACGGCTTCGTCTGAGTCGTGGATCGGTTCCATTTTATATTAATATTTAGTAACAGAGTTCCCGCACAATTCTCTCAAGCATAGCTGGCCTTGTTTTTGTTTTCCACAATACTACTTCAAGTGTACTGCTATGTACTGGGTTTTGATCATACAGCGTATCATTGATGAATTGATGAGCCTTGGGCTTGTCACTCTTCGCTTAAACCTTCTGCGCTGGTATGTGACAAATATGGTAAATGAGGATGCTGATAGGTATTAATTTACTGCAGATGAGCACTTGGCAGTGCTTGTTCTTTCTCATCATTCATGCGGCAACCGTTATAGTAGCAGAATGCACCCACCTCGAGTGTCTGGAATTCTGTTTATCATTTTCGTCCTTCTAATGGTGTCCTGCGGTGCATTGTGTTGTTTATGGGAAAGAGACACGGACTTTCGCGGACTTGACAGGCATTGCACTACGTGCAAGTATTACCAGAAGGAAAGCAAGTTAGCCGCAGAGAAGAGGCGGGACTGGGCAAGGGAGTCAGTATCGCAAAATTTGCGCTCACAGCTTACTGCAAGTGGCGGCAATGCTTGTGTAGGTCATGATACTACTAGCCTATGACTTGATTTATCTTCCAATCCTTAGCTTGCACCGATCCAATCTACGAAGATTCGTTCCATAAAACCTATCGCCCATTGCGAATCCGTAGGATGTCTGCCATCAGAGCCTGTCAACCAAACCATTGACAGCATCGCTTGCACGAGCGCATCGTCCTTTGCATTCCAGGACTCGGACGTTGCCATGGAAGATGCTACTGAACGAGATCATGATATTTCAGGTGTGTACTATGGTGACCTTTGTTACGTCTTTATCTTATAAATTAGTAGTAGACTCAGGCCAGTATCACTCGCAGTGTACACTTAGGTCAATCCCAAGATCTTTCGACGATTTTCTACCTGCCGACGAGGACGTCAACCCTTCTAATTCCTTTGGGAACAATCCATCTACTCTCCCTGACATCCAGAATCTACCATAACACAGAATTCGAAGAATTCTTTTGACGCTGCGCGACTCTCTTCAAACGGCCTTCACTGCGATCGGACTCTGTCGCAAATATCCTAGGCGCCCGTCGTTTGAGCCCGATAAATTCATCCCATCCTCGCTACTAGCTACATCCTGTCCAAGAACTACTGATGCCCACGATACTCTGGTACATGATCCATCCCATGGGGTCTCTGCGCCACCTTATCCCTTCTCTAATATGACCACCTACCGTCTTATGACATGGATGAACTCCAGAAGCCACCAGAAATCAGAGGCAGAAGTAATGCGTCTTGTCAAAGATGTTATGCAGGCGAAGGACTTTAATCTCAAGGACCTAGATGAATTCTCGGTTAGAAAGAGTTTACGCGTGTTGGATAACCACGACGGGAACGGTACGGTCACCTTTCTGGACGACTGGTTGGAGACGAATATCACCCTTGAAATACCTACAAGGTCGAAAGAGGACCCATCTACGTCATTCAGCATCCCCGGATTTCATTACTGCCCGCTTGTGGCAGTGATTTGTTCCGTGTTCGCTGATATTCAAGCCAGTGCATACTATCTGTTTCCTTTCCAGCGCATCTGGAAGGACCCCCTAGACGACCATCAAGAGAGAGTGTTTGACGAGCTCTACACTTCTGACTCCTGGATGGAAGCCCAGGACAACCTGCAGAGGCAGCCAAGAGAGCCTGGCTGCTCGCTTGACCATGTTATTGCCGGACTCATGTTCTTCTCCAACGCAACACATCTTGCAACTTTCGGAACGGCCAAAGCCTGGCCCCTTTACTTATACTTTGGAAATCTAACGAAGTACGCACACTCAGCACCCAAATCTGGCGCATGCCATCTTGTCGGGTTTTTACCTTCTGTAGGTGAATTGCATCCTGTGTTGTTCTTCTCTCTCATGTTCTGATTTTAGCTTCCAGATAACATCAAAGATGTTTTCAGCAGCTTACATCGAATATCGAAAAGCAGCATAGCAGCGCTTCATGCGCATTGTTGCCGCGACTTATTTCATGCATGCTGGAAACATCTCTTGGACGCAGAATTTGTTCATGCCTATCACCATGGAATTGTGCTCCAGTGCCCAGATGGAGTATTGAGAAGGGTATTTCCACGTATCTTCACTTACTCGGCTGATTATCCAGAAAAGTGCGTCATTTTTCTTGTTTTTCATTGATGTACCAACTTTTGTTCCAGGGTTCTAATAGCTACAATCAAAGACATGGGCTTTTGCCCTTGTCCGCGGTGTCTCCTGCCAAAAGCTTCGTTTGATTTCCTGGGTTTGTTGAGAGATATACAAGGTCGTCTAGCTAACCTTAGATCCTACTGTCTGGAGAATGTTACCAAGGCCCGCAGCTTCATCTATAGCGAGCTAAATACCGTTGATGGCTCAAAGGTACGGACGACCCTTGGCGAAGGATCCTGGGTACCAACCGTGGTGAGTGTTTTCGGAATCCCCTCAGAATTAGTACCTAATTTTCGAACCAGAACACTTTTGTAGAAAAATTAGGACCTCTCAGATTCGACGCATTTCGCATGCTTGTAGTAGATTTCATGCATGAATGTGAATTAGGTACATGGAAGGCACTATTCACACACATGATCCGTCTACTTTATGCCCTTCCCGGCGGTGACCGTCTGGTTGCAACTCTGGATAGCAGGTTCGTCCCACACTGCTCTTGTTTTTACTCAAAGTGATAGTGTTTAACTTAGATTTCGTGATGTCCCTTCATATGGCAATGGGGTTATTCGCAAATTTGCTAACAACACCTCCGAAATGAAAAGGCTCACAGCACGAGACTTCGAAGATATTTTGCAGGTGTGTTTACTGGTTCAGTTATCGATATGCGCTATTTTTCATCTTTCCTCAGTGTGCAATGCCGGTCTTTGAAGGCCTTTTCCCAAGTGACCACGACGCCATCATACAAACACTTCTCTACAGGTTTGCCCAATGGCATGCCCTCGCCAAACTAAGGCTGCATTCCGAGACCACCTTGACACTTTTAGATAAGACTTTCAAGAGGCTGTCCCATCAACTGCGGAGGTTCCAAGATTTCACATGTGCCACCTTTGCCACACTAGAGTTACCAAAAGAAAAGGCCGCTCGCAAGTGCAAGGTCACCCGTGAACGCTCGTGCGCCGACACTGCGAACGCTGGGAGTGGTGGTCGAAAGGGCAAGAAATTTAACCTGAACACCTACAAATTTCACGCTATGGGGGACTATCTACACTCAATCCGACTCTTTGGGACCACGGACTCCTTTACATCGCAAATTGTACGTAGTCTCTACTTCATATGCATATTTCAATCTGATCTCTGGCCAGGGAGAGTTGGCACATAGAGCACTCAAGGCGTTCTATCCGTTGACCAGCAAGAAACTCAATACCTCAGCTCAACTTGCTAAGCATGAACATCGACAATGAGTCCTTCAGCAAGTCGCAGGACAGAATTTACACACTACGGAACAGCCGATCAACTTGCCTGCAGAGTTGAAGGACCACCATTATATAGCAACCTTGAGCTGCAACAATCCGTTGGAAATGTTCAGTTTTCTTCGAGATCATGATAATGATCCAGCTGTAACAGTATGTGGCGCTCTCCTTGAATCATGAGGAGATGGAGGTCGGTGAGGACACGGACAATGATGAGGACGAGGAAGATGATTACATGATGTCTTTTTGATTCATAGCTTAATACATACATATACTAAAGTCATACTAAGGACTACCAGCATGCAATATGATATTTCGACACATCCAGCTGTATTAATTAAGGTTTCATTCATTTGTGTGTATTTGGCTGCTCTGTCTTATCGATGTCCAGGTTGATCGATGCATGTTTGCTCAGTCTCCCTACATTGACATCTCCGAGTCCACCATTTGTGATTGAGGCACCATGTACTAGTAAGGTTCCATCGCGCTCCAAAATAGTTCTCATGATTTTGACATACATTTTACAGGGCTTTACACAATGCTCCATGCTAGATGATTCTACCCTCATCAGGGACTCAGACTTCAGTCAAAATCATCGCTTCTTAATCAATGTAATGATGCATGGTTCTCACATTTTCTTCTGTTACATCCACCGATATGGGGTGATTTGGACTATAGGTAATTATTTAATTTGTGGGGCAGGTTTTGAATTATCTCCCTTCTCACACACTGCCGCAGTGACCGTGGGAAGTTGTTTCATGCATGCTGGTGGTGGAAGACTTTCTTCGCATGTATCAACAACCCCGAGAAGTACATACTTCCATCCCTTTGCAAGTGTTGGCTTACTTACTTTCAGGCTTGATTGTGGCTAAGGTGAGACTCGGAGGTCACAAGACAAACACAAGGCAGGCAAGATAGCAGAGAGACCTTCCCAGAGTTGGGTAGCAACAATGGATTTTGCAATTTCTGGCTAGTGACTAGAGTGTGCTGAGGTGGGAATGTACAGGGTTCAATCACAACTATTCACCAGTTGAACCCGCTCGCCGCCACAGCCTGAATTCAGTCTGTTGATAAGATTTGATAACCAACTTGAAGGCAGATACGAGCGTCGCGAGACGCTGGGGTCGGGTTTCATCTCTTGATGCACCCAGTAAGTAATTTTACCATAACTTATGTCTGAATTGTCACTTCAACTGCCTATAGGACTTACTTTACAGCAACTTGAAGGTCAAACCACGGACTGCGGTAACCACATCCTGCACTAGGCGCATTCAACATTTTTAATTATATGCCAAATAGTGAGTGATTTGCTTACACTGATTCATCATCGCACCATTACTGAGGGTTTTTTTGTTACTGTCCTGAAGTTGCGCACGCATTAGTGATGAGCACGGGCTACTTCCGTATATCATCATTGGCCCGAGTCCACTCGCTGGTTTTGCGCCCTCTGTTGTTCATCTAGACCCATGACATAGGGCGTCTTTTCTCCCTTCAAATGGAATCATGGTGTGTACAGATAGGCATTCTGAGATCTTACAAGAAGTTCTCAGCGGCATACGTGTCATCAAGTTCTTTTCTTGGGAAGTTCCATTTATGAGATGGCGTACGTGAAAGTCTCTCTCATTGCCTCATACCCGCACCCTCTTCATCTTGAGAGTCGGATGGATGCTTTTGCTGTTTTCCTCCCAGTTCTCGCTTCTATTCTTGTCTTTGTCGCATATTCATTGACCCTGTTAAACATGATTCGCTTGCCTTTGATGTTCTAACGTGTCGTTTATTACCATTTGAAGTGCAATCTCACATATTTTTTTCAGCCTTGTCCCTGAGCAGCATTGCTCATATCCTCAGCATGCGATCGACTGCTGAATGTTCAAAGCAAAATTGGCAAGAAGGTAATGTTTGTTCTTCACCTTGCATGACTACTAACTGATTCTTTTGCATAAGGTATCTCATTCTCTGGCTGCCAACAGCAGTGTATCAACATATGTTGCGCCATCTACTACAACACTGGCATTTGAATATTCGATGATCTGTTCTAGATGCACATATCGGAAAAGCAGTTTTTGCATGTCGATGTTTTTTCCTGCTGAAGCTCGTGATGTAAGTTTCGTTTATGGTCAAACTGTGTCAAACTGACCAGAAGGGGAAGGGATGGAAAAAGAAATCCAACTACATCGAAGCCACGTCGCCCGGTCTTCGCAAACTCTCCATTCTGACCTTCGACTCCGCGCCGATACACGTGTACCATTCAAATTGACAAGGAGACCCTGAAGAATAAGGCACTCGTGTGAGATTATAGCGGATATACTGGAAACACCCGCCGAATACCGATGTGACAGGTTCGAACTCTTGTCGCATTTGTAATATTGCTTGGATATGAACACTAGTTCATTTGAGCTTTTCGTGCTCAAGCGCAGGATCATGAAGCCTTGCTGGCTTTCCATAACCAAAGTTGCCCAGAACAAACATGTAAGGAAGTGCACGACCCCTGCCTTCAATTGATGATATATTCATGCAGATCTCATGGCGCAGGCTCGAAGCCACTACCCTAAGAACGTGACACTCATGAGAGATATACGACCCGTGACACACAACTTCCTACTTATCTTCGCGATGATTGACAATGGTGCGTACTGCAAGACTCGTTATTGTTAGAGAGACGGGCTCTGGAGCGCTCACCTTGCTGAAGAATATTCTAATTTGATGGCACATTATGTCGTTCAACTTGATAATCCTACACCTCCGAATAACTCCGTGCTCTGTGTACCTTTCGACCGCCTCCCTGCGAAAGTTGAAGCCTAGGCACAAGCAGATGGAAAGGCATAATATCAACAATGAAGAACGAGCGGATACTCTTCAACAGCTTGCTCGGTGGCTTTTTACTTCAATTGCAATGTTTCCTAATTATTGACCAGATATCTTAGAATCACGCTGCACAATGCAGACCCCAATGTTATTGTTGACTTTCTCGGTGTCTCCCTTGATGTCCTCAGCAGAGTAAAGGACCTCAAGGTGGAGTACTGGTCACACCTCGAGTGGCTCAGGTGCTTGATATAAGACGTCAGGGCACCAAAATGCATTTTTCAACTAAGCACCTGTTTTGTGACCTCGCCAGCGACATTTGCCTCTGGCAAGACAGCTCACAAACCTTACTGGCAACGCATGGTGAGTTCCTTCGGTCAGCGATTTGGTAATTAAGTGAGCTTCATCTCAGGAACAAGACGCTGAATGGTGGTCAGGCTAAGCAGAACGAGTACATTCTTCTGCATGAGTTCCACCGCCTGAAGTGCATCTATCCTGATAAGACATACCACAAGAAAGCGCCGGGCGGGGTCGGGAACAAAGGCAAATGGGACAACTTCAAGGGTGGTCTCGTGTTTGAGCCGAAGCGTAGTCTTTGGGACAAGTGTATCGTCATACACATCAACTCGCTGTATCCGAATATCATCCAGGAGTATAAAATTGACTTCACTACCCTCGAGTGCTTGCAGGATGTAAGTGACTAGACTCGTGTTCATGCTTTGATGCTGACACCTAAATGCAGGATGACAATGTCAAGGTACCAGACCCACCGCTACCTGAGGTACCTCGGGGCGTCCTTCCGCGTCTTATTGCAACACTGGTCAACTGACAGTGTCTGGTGAAGTCACTTATGAAGGATCGTTCTTTGTCGCACACAAAGCTACTGCAGGTTCGACAGTCGATGCTGTCCCATTGACTACTTTACTCACGCTTGATCTTTATCACAGTATGACTCATCAAACAACAAGCATTGAAACTGACGGCGAATAATATGTGCAGCTGTCTTGGTTTCGAGTACTCGCGATTCTAGACCAAGCCTCTTGCTACGCTAACTACTTTCAAGGGTCGTGAGATCCTGACGCACACCAGGGAGCTTTCCAAGAGCTTACAACTAGACATAAGTACACCTCTGATACATGTTGAAAGATTTCTCTGACTCATCATAGGTTGCCTACAGCAATACTAATTTTTTATTCGTCAACTTCAACGTGACAGCTTTCTGAGGCGCTCAAAAATTTTGCCAAGTTCAAGAAAGCTGTCAATGGTCGATACAAACTCCTCGAGATAGACCTCGACGGCCTCATTGTGCCTCTCTTACTCTTGCAGAAAAAGAAATATGCAGCCTTGAAGTTGGAGGAGGGATCACGGACATCCACGGAAGTTCAAGGTCTCGATATGAAGCATCAAGAATACTGCTGCAAATCAATAGAGATTGTGGTAGACAACATTCATGAGTATCTTAATAGCATCGGTGAAAGTGTTCATGGTGGAAAGGTCATGTCATTTCGCAACGTCTCCAGCTCCTCAAGCGACTGGTGGTCAGCTTACTGCTGCACCAGGTCCTCAGGCCTCAGGATCACATAATTCAGTACTTTATTTCCGACTTAGACGGACAGCCAAAGGTTGAGAATCTCCCCAGTTAGACGGGCCATCCTAGGTCGGCCCATACGCAGATAGGGCGGGTGGGCCAGCCATGAAGGCAATCCTCGGTGGTGACGGGTGGGCCAACATCATGCAGTATTATTTGTAGGCTGGGGTAATGGTCAATAGACCAGTGGGCCAGCCATGGAAGGACCGGAGATAGGGCGGGCGGGCCAGCATGAAGGCAATCCTCGGTAGTGACGGGTGGGCCAACATCATACAGTATAATTATGAATTATTTGTAGGCCGGGGTAATAGTCAATAGACCAGTGGGCCAGCCATGGAAGGACCGGAGATAGGGCGGGCGGGCCAGCCATGAAGGCAATCCTTGGTAGTGACGGGTGGGCCAACATCATACAGTATAATGATGAATTATTTGTAGGCCGGGGTAATAGTCAATAGACCAGTGGGCCAGCCATGGAAGGACCGGGAGGGATACAGAAGAAGCATGCATTAATATATTGGGCCAGGATGTGTGCTGCTGGGGTACCGGCTGGGCCCAAAAGTATTTTTGGACAGGGAATGACAGCCCCTTATACCCGGTACAGGCGGATGGGCCCAGATATGGACCCAACCATTCCAAGGTCCTCATCAATGATGGTTGGGCCGACGTACCCGAGACCAGCAGATGGGCAGGCAGTTGTACCCGGTATTGGCGGATGGGCCCAGATGTGAACATGACCATACCCAAGGGTCCTCACAAACTTTGATTCCGAGACTGGCTGACAGGCACGTCCTCCGTTAATTATGGGTAGGCTGGCACCTGAGCCCGGCGGACGGCACCAGACCAATGCTGTGAATACCGGATTCGCATAGGTATGGTGTCCCAGACATATTGCACATCTGAACAGTTGCATTCCCTTGTGTGTGCAATCATGTCGGTCGCACATCCGGTCCTTGATGGCGGATCTTCCGGATACATACATCAATGCCAGTTTGGATGCTCCAGCTGACACAACATCGCTTTGTATTGACTTGCATGCGCAGTCGGTTGGTTGAGCTACCGAATTTATACCCCAACAGAGATCCGGTATCATTCGGACACGACTCAGATCAACTTATCCGATATGGTAAATAAGATGCGATCGAATCGGTCCGCCGAACGGGAGTGGCGGGAGTGGCTGGAGTGTCTGCGCCCCGAGCAGCCGGTGCAGATTACTGATCCCAACTTCCACACCGACACTGGTGGTTGGGCTGAGGTGTGAGGTCCATAGAGATGAGCAGGCCCAAAATGTGTGACCGGGTGGGCCTGCATGCTCGAGGGTGAGAATGGGCCAGGCGGATTTGCGAAAATTGTGACGGATGGGCCCAGCTAGCATGTATGCATATATGGGTGGGCCCGGCTTGTAGGCATGCTCGGGAAAAGGGCAACGGATGGGCCCAAAATGTGCGAGGATAGGCCCAGCGGATTGCATGTAATCTTGAAAATCATGACGGATGGGCCCACCGTGGATTTGATCTCAGAAAAGGCAAATTGGCCCAGTGCATATGCAGATGTGGTCTCGGAAACAGTGACGGATGGGCCCAGTCCGCTGTGTTTGGACTTGGAAAAGGCAACGGACGGGCCCAGTCCCCCATGGGTATAATAACGTCGGGTGGAGTCTCGGGGAAGGCTATGGATGGGCCCAGAACATGCTGATTTGTTCGCGAAAATGGTGGCAGATGGGCTGAATGTGCTTGGAAGGGACTCAGGAATAGACCCTTCCACCCATGATTGTGGAATCGGAAAGGGTGACGGATGGGCCCGCTCATCTTATATTGCCGAGAATGGTGGAGCCCGTAGATTTGGTCTCGGCGAAGGCGACGGGTGGACTCAACTTGTGTGTATTCCTGAGAATGGTGACGGATGTGTGCAGCATATATGTTGCATGCTGGCAAGGGGCTACAGATGGACCATCCGACATATTCCATGGGAGTGCTCGCTGGGGAAATGTCTGACAGCGGCCAGGTTCTATATGAACCCATCGGTTGTGGGCATTCCGACAACTGTGGAGAGTCATATGCGTGAACCGAGTGTAGGACTATTGTAGAGAACCACCACGGCTACCATAGGCTAAACCCTTTGGATCTACATCGGCAAAGGCCCTATCTACCATTGCTTCTGGAAGATCCTGCACGGTTGTAAGGTACTGTCCACTCTGAAATCATTTTATCGCTGCCTCCGCTGAGAATGAGGTCATGTATTCCATCTATGTACGGTAGAATCCTCACTGAGACTTGTGAGAACGCTTGTGTCATCGGCAATAATCGAATTGGCTAGCTACAACACAACAGATACTAATCTATGTCGCCATTCTCCCGAAGTCATTGTATGATAGCTTGATGATCAAAAAAACAGACTGGTGTTACAATCGCTCTACTTTCTTTACTGCTCACGTATCTGCCATTATGCCTTACATTCTTAGCAGCTTAGCTTTCCTTTCTTGGTCTTACTTCCGTATTCGACCTTTGTACTATTATCTCACCGTAGCCTTGGTCCATGCGCATATGGTTTCCTATTTAAGCACGTGTACTTCACTTAGAAACGTCACTTCAATCTTACTAGGTTTTACCCTGAAAACTTCCTTCGCTTAAGACCACCAATCTTAAGACGTCTGAACCGATCTCTTAGTCAAAGCACTCCTTTGACTAAGTCTACGAACCTCTTCTTATTTGAAGAGCTATACAAGACCTCAACAACGTGAACGCTCTGTTGAGCCTTTGTTGTTAAGAACTATCCTAGTTCGTAACAAAAGATTGAAGTCGAGAAAGACACCTATATCCATACGTGTCAAAGAAACTTCGAAACCAGAACAGAAAGATCCTGACTGAGCAAGACAGCTAGTGCAGGCGAAGAAAAAGGCGACAACCTGACTTCACTCACCCCTACCTTCCAAGCCCTGAACCTTGGTACTCCTGTACCACCATTGAACATGTCGGCCTCATCCAAGATAACAGAATTCAAGATCAACCATCCTCCTACATTTGATGGCGACAGAGACAAGTCCAAGTCATTCATGCTCTCATGCAATGCTTACATTGATATCAACTCGGAAATCTATAAAACCGACGCTCAGAAAGTGATCTTCATCTCCTCGTTCATGAACGAAGGAAACGCTAGGTCATGGAAAGAAGAATTCCTCGCAGATGCCCAATTCATCGACTCAACCGGACAAAAGAAGGGCTATGGAACCTTGAAAGAGTTTAACGAAAGCTTTGACAAAGCCTTCGGACCGATTGACCCATCTGGGACCGCATTGGCACGACTCCTGGAATTAAAACAAGGCCCAGAAGGCCTGCAGACGTACATTGCAGACTTCAAAAGGTTGCTTGCCCAAGCAAAGATCAAAGAAGAACATATGATGATCTATCATTTCGAGAACGGCCTCAACGGAGGACTTCTAACCAAAATGTTCAACGCAGGAGGGGTACCCAAGAACCTTGATGACTACATCGCTGCAGTAGTCGATCTGGATAATTGCTACGCAAGATTGCTAGCTCGGAGAAACAGGTTTCCTTCCCGACAAATCCAGAAGAAGAACGGTCGCGGAGATCAAAGATATATCCCCGCCAGAGATAGGGATGCCATGGTTATTGATCGGATCACCGACGAAGCCAAGCAAGAATACATGAGGACAGGAAAATGTTTCAACTGTCACCAGATCGGACATCGGGCACGGGAATGTCCGCAGAAGAAGAAAGCCCCCTACCCAGCAGTGAGGAAGGTAGAGGAAGAAGAAGAAGCTAGAAGAATTGATGAGGATTTTTAAACAGGAGACCTATATCGACGATAGCATCTCCAGCAAAACCTGTACGCCTAATACGAACAGTTGGTGAAAAGAAAGAACTTCGTGTCCCCATAACCCTCGTATCCCGAACGCGTCAGAAAAATGTCGAAACCACCGCAGTAATTGACTCCGGAGCATCAGGAACCTATATCTCTGAGGACTTCATAAAGAAACATAACATTGGAACCAAGAAACTCGAAAACCCTTTTTACATTAAAACCGCCGATGGAAGCTACTTCAGCAGCGGACCAGTAGAACGGTACTGCACGCTGATCGTCCAAATCGACCAAAGGATG